TTGTTGCCAGGATGGGACGGGTCCTTCAGTATCTGTGCTGCTCTAGTCCGGCATCTCCTGGTGTAGGTGTCCTGAAGCGGGGGGAGAGCAATCCTGCAGCAGCGTTCTGCTGTACAGATCACTCTCTGAAGAGCTTTTTGGTCCTTACACAAGCTGTTACTTAACACACTGGTTACTTCTTCCCTCCGTATGTTTTGTTTATACTGGGGAATGAGGAAGATGGTGTTGTGGTCAGACTTCCCAAAAGCTGGGTGTATTTTAACCTAATGAGGCAACAACATGGTCTTGAATATTATTCAAGTCTTTGCTGGGATGTATTTAAGTGGTAATTGCCATATGCTGTTCATAACACTCCAGTTGGTGGGCCTAATGTATTCCTGGATTGTTATACTTTCTTCTCATGGACAGAGATGAGAAGAGGGGGACATCTGTTGTCTTGTACTCTATGCTTTTTGTTGTTTTTCTTCCTACATCTAGGTGCCCTGTGTGGACAGCAGCCGCCAGTGTTAATCTGAAAAATCTTTGTATAAATTAACCAAGCTTTACATCTTATGACCCTGTACTCCTTAACCACTGGCTAAAACCTCAAGGACTTTCTCTTTTGGGCATCCTTGAATCTTTGATCCCCTGCTACTGTTGGGGATGCCCATTAGTGGTGGGCAGATCGATCCAAATATCAATTGTACCGATACCAAGTCGGCATCGGTATTGGATGGATACTAGCCTGGTGAGATCGATTCTTTACTTGAAGTTCCGCTCTTGTTTGCAATGCTGTGGTTTTTGGCAAAGACGAAACAGCCAGGGTGTCGGACTCGCCGCTCCTGTGTCAGCGCAGAGTAGGCACACTTTGCTCCCCCTCCCCCCTCTTGTGTTTAGATGTTGCGCTGTGACGTGACTTAGATGCTTTGGGGGTTGTTAAGTTGTTTACATATTATTTATATTTTTTCACTAGTTGTTGTTTTATTGTTTAATTATAATTTTTGTATTATAGTTTCTCAACAGTACTTGTTTTAATTTGTTTATTGGTTTGCCTGCACTTTTTAAGATAGATCGATAACTGTAAACCACCACGGCAGACCCAAACGATCGTATGTATTTTTTGTATTCATGTACTTTTCCTAATTTCATCTGTATTAGTGTTCCACACACTAACTCCTGTTACTGTAATGCTGTGATATTTTACATTAGTCCTTACTACTGGCGTGGATCATCTACTCCCCTCATAAATATTGAGTTTGCTACATTAATAGTTTTAGTTTTAGGAGGTTGTCCACTTTTTACAATTTCTTTAGCCAAGCCAGGATCAACATCAAGAACAAAGTCATTAAAACCATTTGCAATTTGTTTTATGTCACTGATATTAAGTTATTTGGATATTCCAATCCTTTAGTTCCTTTATTTACAATATTATTTAGTACTGTCCACATGTTTTTCATATTATTTATATATCATTTCATTTACTCCCTGCTCCTTTCCACCTCTTCTCCCTCTCTTGTATCTTTATTCCTGCAAGTCTCTCCATTCCGTCAACCTGGTCCAGATCTCATATCTCACTATATATTTATCTCTCACTCACACACGCATGCATCCATACACGCAACAAAACATAATTTATTAACTCACCTGGATAAGTCCCATGCAACAAAACTGAAGGGGTTTTTTGTCCAGAAACCCACCATCAAAGTACCCATTGTCTTTGATGTCTGTAAATAAACCTATCCCAGCTACCAGAGGGTGAGATACAGTACACCAATTAGCTGCAAATTTTGTTATCTTAATGTTACTTTATCCAACATTGTGAATGAGCTGTTGCTCATTTGATGGTGTTTAATGGTAGCAAATCATGGATTGCAGCTTTTTGGCTTTTTTTAACAAGTGTGACCACTTGGGACTATGATAATATAATAATTTAAAATATGCCCCTAGCTTTGAAAATAAAATCACAAGGCCATAAATACTTAAAGTTGTGTACAACTGTATTATATACAACAACAATATAACTCTGTTAGTGTATACTATTAATACAAATTCATAGTAACTTATGAACTTATGAATTTGTAATTACCGTATTTTTCGCACTATAAGGCACACTTTAAATCCTTTAATTTTCTCAAAAATCGACAGTGCACATTGTAATCCGGTGCGCCTTATGTTTGAATTCTGGTTGTGCTTACTGACCTTGGACCGATTTTATGTGGTACACGGCGCTCAAATCTGTTAAAGAATGTTTTAGTACGACTTTGGTAAGCTACGAAGCCGCACTGCTTGATGGATTGTCAGAGCATTACGGCTACCGTAGTCAGGATCAGTGTTGCTGCTTTACCAGGTGTAACAATTAAGTTTAACATCCAGGCATCCATGAAACCAGAATTTATTCAAATTTAACAGAGTTAGAAGTTAGCAGGAAGTTAGCTCGCTAGTTTCCACTTAAACATGATCTGACTGAGGGATTTCTGAAAAAAATAAAACGTACAGCTCTGCTATCACTTGCAACATAAATAAAGACAGAAAACTAAACAGCAGTGACGTTTGTAGGGTTACTGAAGTTGCACTAGATGTTATATAATGATGTGCTATGTGGTCGCTAGCGACACAAGTATGTTAGCATAACATAAGCACAGTGAAGCTGGAGGGTGAACGCTAACTTTTTTCAACTCGATAAAAGTTAATGTAAGGGTTCCCGATGCAATCGCATGGCAGGATTCTGTAAATGGTCCAAACTTCAGTCAGGAGAACTACTGAGATAATCCATCTACAATATGAGGTTAATCATTAATATACTGCAACAACATGGGAATAGAGCAGTTGCGAAAGAATTCAACATTAATGAATCAATGGTACAGAAGTGGGGGAAGCAAAAAGAATGAGTTGAGTAAAGTTTGACTTACATTAAGCAAAACAAAACAGTAAGATGTCTTATAATCCGGTGCGCCTTATGATCTAAAAAATATGGTACATTTTCAGAACTTACCTTTTGTAATAAAGCCCATCTCATCTTCTAATGCATTTACGTGTCCAAGTCTCTAACATTTCCTCTTTTTTTCTCTGTCCTAACACAGACTCTCTGTCAGCACCATGGAAGAGGATTTTCTGGACTCTGGATACCCATCTCCCTGGGATTGTCAAGAATATTAAACTTCAATATATTAAGCTTCTGATTGGTCTGCTCTTTTTAAGAAGTCTTAAAGTTTAAAACTCATTGAATTTGCTTTATTTACATATTTGTTTCTGCAATCTGCAGTACTAGTAAGATTGATCTTTAAAATTTAAGCCAACTGGTTCTATCCCCTTTGTGTTGGTGGGATGACTGTATATGTATAATGTTCTCTCTGAGTGAGCAAGATTACACACTACAGTGAGCACTGTATACAAGGATAAAAGTGGGGAAAAGACACAGAAAAACTGTGACACACTATTTATTTTATTAGAAATTCACACAATGAATGAATGAGGTACTAGTAAAAGTGAAACAGACACATGAAATAAATGTATTAAAAATATAAATATCCATTAAAAACACTAAAGTGTTTGCTACAATAAGAAAAAAGACTGACATTTGATCAGAGATGGGCAGTAATGCATAATCCGATTACTTTTTTCAAGTAACGAGGAAAGGAGGGGATTACAAATTGTTGATTGCAAAAAAGTTATTAGATTACTGTTACTTTCCCATAAGCATCCAGCCTTACTAGGTTTGTCAGAGTGTCTCATGACCATGACTTACGTGCGCGCGACGTCCATGGCAACAACAGACGTGTGTAGATCAACAATGTGGCATGCGGGAGCAAGTACGACCATGTAGCATTTAAAGTGTGAAAGTACTGACCTTACTTTGAGTTTGACTCTGTAAAAAGTTGTCATGGCTGTGTGCAGGCAGGCAGGGAAAAGGACCCAAAATGTGGATTCACGGAGGCAAGGGTGAAACTCAAAACAAACAGCTTTATTGCCAGTTGCAGATTGAACAGGAGGCAACTATACTGGGAAAACATAAACTAACAGGCAGGCAAACAGGTTAATGGAACACACAGTGACGGTTGATTGTACGATGCGACAACGAGCAGGGGAAGACACCTAAATACAAGAGGTGAACAGAACAAAGAGGAAACAGCTGGGAGATGATTACACTGATTACACTGACGAGACAGGGAGAGCACAAACAGAACACACTGACAAAAGACAGACCTTCAAAATAAAACAGGAAATGCACAGACTGGACTCAGAGATGCGGTACAGACAGAACAGAGGGAACACATGGGTAGACACAAAACAGAGTGAGCGCAAAACCAAACCTCTAGGAACCAAAGGGTGTAAACCCAAACACACAATCAGCATAAACTAGAACAAAGGATCATAATAACAACAACAAAATAATAATAATAATAATAATAATAATAATACATAAACACAAAACGGTGCATCAAATGACCCAGGACCGTGACAAAACATTAGTGTCCGCTGTACACTTTGTGTGGGAAGTAAACTTCTTTCTAAAGCAAAAAATGAAACTTAAAATCTGAGCAAGTACCTAGCAAGCTGTCACGGGAATGTGAAATTCACAGAGAAACCCCAGGACCCCCCCCCCCACTGACATGACCGGGCAAACCTCCACCGGCCCCACTCCTGCTAAACAGGTGACAATAGACTTAAGAGGGACAGGACTTAGTGCAGTTGAATCTTTGATTTCATTTATTTTTGCTGTGTTTTACTTGCATCTATTTGAAAGAGTGAGTGTAAACACAAAACATTATTTTATATGCTGGAATATGCAGAAAATAGGTTTAAATGTTAAACAAATGTCTTCAAGTCAAAGACTGTTGCATAGAATTTCATTTTTGCTTGATGCAATGTGCATAAAGTTAAAAGATTAAAACTAATAAAACCGTTTTTAAAAATACACTTTTGAATCAATTTTATATGATGGATTATGCAGAAAATATAGAATTGGGCTGAAAGGTCTGTTGCTTTATTATGTAATCAGGTTTTATATCATGTTTTTAAAAAGTAACTGGGTGATAAATTAACTAATTACTTTTGAAAATAAGTAATCAGTAAGGTAACAGGATTACTTTCTTGTAGAAGTAATTGGTAATTAATAAGTAATTACTCTTTTCAAGTAACTTGACCAATACTGCACAGTCATATGATACATAGTTAACATAACCTTTATACTGTGCTGACAGCAGTTTTTTTCCTTTCTTCTTAATATTAAGTGTGCAATGTATTACCAAGAAAGTGCACTTATACTCATGCTAGTGCATTCAATTATTGATAGTCACCTGTCAGTCTCATTCTGTCCTTTCTGAAACTCTTAAAAACCAGTCAGAGTTATCATGACATTACTGTCTACATAAACACAGTGATGACCCTTAAAAGGCTTCAAAAGCAATGAAGGATTTCAGACAGACCTACCCACAAAAACATTGGCTGAACTGGGTTTTCCTACCATGTACCCTTTTTGTGGGCGTCGGGCTGCAAGAAAAGCCTCTGCCATCTCTGCAGCTTCTTTTGAAGTGGTGGGGTTGCGCTCTTTCACCCAGGTCCTCAGCTCTGGGTTAAGAACTCTGAGAAACTGTTCCATCACTATGACATCTCCTATTTGGTCCTTTGTCTTCTCCTTTGGAAGCATCCACTTTTCATATAGGTCTTTAAGGCGGGTTCGCAGCTCTTTGGGTGTCTCATCGTCCTTCACCGTCATGTTGCGGAATCTGGTTCGGTAAGTCTCAGCACTTATTTCAAATTTTTCAAGAACGGCGGTTTTTACCTTATCATAGTCCATTGTTTCTTCAGTGTCCATAGCAACATATGCCGCACGTGCTTTACCACTAAGAAGTGGAGCCAGATGCAGTGCCCATTCTTCTTGTGGCCACTGACATCCTGTTGCAATCCTCTCAAAAGTGGTTAAATAATGTTCAATATCTTCATCCTCACCATAGGGCTGCATCTTCGGGCCTTTCCAACCGCTTACTCTGCCCAGATTGGATGAATGTGGTGCTGCGGAAGATTCAGGGGGGTTTCCTCGCTGTTGAACAGGTTGCTGCACCTTTTGCCGCACTGAGGAACTCAGAGGCACTCCGGAATCAGCTACTGCACCTTCCCACAGCATCTGATGCTCCCGGCGCTCCGACTGGACCTCCTGCTGCAGTTGGCTGAACTGGTGTTGCATTCTATGCCACCGTTCATCCTGGCGTTGTCTGTCCTGCTCCCATTTTGCCTCACGGTCAGCATGCTGTTGCATCAGGCCTTTTAATAAAGTTGAGAGCTCTGAGAGACTTTGTGCTTCCGTGCTGTGCTCACCCGTAGCTTCTGGCAGGTTGCCATCATCTTGGGCCTCCTCTGGGGGAAAATCTGTTGGCCCTTGAGGTTTCCTTGACTTGGCTGATTTCTGCATTGCTATAACCTATTGGCCTGGAGCCACTGCTGCCACCATTTGTGATGTAGCATAACTTAAGCAGCAAGGAAGGTGATAAGTAAATAGCATTAGCAGACAATTGAAGTTCTTTTTAAGCATACTTTATTGCTAGCATCTCCCTTTTACCATAAAACAATCAATCAGGCATGCAAAAATCCCACTGGCTTTATACAAGACTTTGCCCACACCTGACCTCGTTAGTCCCTACCATTGAACAAAATAGGTCAAACCAAATAATACAATTCTAAACAAAGAACAGGAATAAAGTCATGCATGAAACTGACAAACTCATTTACTCAACTAAATAGTTTGTAAAGTAAAACACTGCATACAATATAACTCAAAAGGCTACTTTAAAGAAAACAAACAATACTATACAAAATGAAAAACCCTCCATTTGGTTACACCCAGTGATGCAATCATTGACCTCATGACCCTATATAAACAGGAAGTAGTGGGCGGCCCTTCCCATACACCTGTCTCACATACAGTGGGGCAAAAAAGTATTTAGTCAGCCACCGATTGTGCAAGTTCCCCCACTTAAAATGATGACAGAGGTCAGTAATTTGCACCAGAGGTACACTTCAACTGTGAGAGACAGAATGTGAAAAAAAAATCCATGAATCCACATGGTAGGATTTGTAAAGAATTTATTCGTAAATTAGGGTGGAAAATAAGTATTTGGTCACCTCAAACAAGGAAAATCTCTGGCTCTCACAGACCTGTAACGTCTTCTGTAAGAAGCTTTTCTGTCCCCCACTCGTTACCTGTATGAATGGCACCTGTTTGAACTCATCATCTGTATAAAAGACACCTGTCCACAGCCTCAAACAGTCAGACTCCAAACTCCGCCATGGCCAAGACCAAAGAGCTTTCGAAGGACACCAGGAAAAGTATTGTAGACCTGCACCAGACTGGGAAGAGTGAATCTACAATAGGCAAGCAGCTTGGTGTGAAAAAATCAACTGTGGGAGCAATCATCAGAAAATGGAAGACATACAAGACCACTGATAATCTCCCTCGATCTGGGGCTCCACGCAAGATCTCATCCCGTGGGGTCAAAATGATCATGAGAACGGTGAGCAAAGATCCCAGAACCACACGGGGGGACCTGGTGAATGACCTGCAGAGAGCTGGGACCAAAGTAACAAAGGTCACCATCAGTAACACACTACAACGGCAGGGAATCAAATCCCGCAGTGCCAGACGTGTTCCGCTGCTGAAGCCAGTGCATGTCCAGGCCCGTCTGAAGTTTGCCAGAGAGCACATGGATGATACAGCAGAGGATTGGGAGAATGTCATGTGGTCAGATGAAAGCAAAGTAGAACTTTTTGGTATAAACTCAACTCGTCGTGTTTGGAGGAAGAAGAATACTGAGTTGCATCCCAAGAACACCATACCTACTGTGAAGCATGGGGGTGGAAACATCATGCTATGGGGCTGTTTTTCTGCCAAGGGGACAGGACGACTGATCCGTGTTAAGGACAGAATGAATGGGGCCATGTATCGTGAGATTTTGAGCCAAAACCTCCTTCCATCAGTGAGAACTTTGAAGATGAAACGAGGCTGGGTCTTCCAACATGACAATGATCCAAAACACACCGCCCGGGCAACAAAGGAGTGGCTCCGTAAGAAGCATTTGAAAGTCCTGGAGTGGCCTAGCCAGTCTCCAGACCTCAACCCCATAGAAAATCTGTGGCGGGAGTTGAAAGTCCGTGTTGCTCGGCGACAGCCCCAAAACATCACTGCTCTCGAGAAGATCTGCATGGAGGAATGGGCCAAAATACCAGCTACTGTGTGTGCAAACCTGGTAAAGACCTATAGTAAACGTTTGACCTCTGTTATTGCCAACAAAGGTTATGTTACAAAGTATTGAGTTGTATTTTTGTTATTGACCAAATACTTATTTTCCACCCTGATTTACGAATAAATTCTTTACAAATCCTACCATGTGGATTCATGGATTTTTTTTTTCACATTCTGTCTCTCACAGTTGAAGTGTACCTCTGGTGCAAATTACTGACCTCTGTCATCATTTTAGGTGGGGGAACTTGCACAATCGGTGGCTGACTAAATACTTTTTTGCCCCACTGTATAGGAATGCACAACATGGACACCATGGTAAGTATAACCAAAGCAACATAAAGAAACATAATTTACCAGACATGTGCCTGTAAACAGAAGAAAATTCAGATGATCTGATGGTTAGTAGTGTTTGCTTTAAAACACATGCATGGATGTAAAGGATGTAACTACTGCTACCACAAACAAAACCCGGGATAGTGTGTGTTAAGAGAAGTTACACCAGCAATGTCTAAATTAAAGCATTATGGCTGACTGTAAAATAACAGAACACAAAATAACAATATATGCAAGTGACAAATGGCAAATGAATTCTGTCCTAGCCACTTTGTCACACTAGAGAGAGGAGCTGTCCGCAGCTAGGCCCCAGAGCCACAGCTTCCAACTTCTGTATGACATCTACTTATTTATGCACACATGTATACAAGTACTAGGTGTATGTGTATATATATAAATATTTCCTGGCACTGACACCAAGGCAGTAGAATTCTCTTCTGTTGTCTTTACGCTGTGTCGACTCTTTTAAAAAGCAGCTGAAGACATTTCTCTCCAAAGAGCTTTTAAGTAATTTTTTACATTGTTTTATATTTTATTTATGTTTCTGGTTTTATTGTGAAGAACTTTGTGATTTTTATCTATGAAAAGTGCTATATAAATAAATAAATAAATAAATTACAATGTAACGTTTACCTGTTCACAGTGAAATGTTACCAGAACACTAAAGTTAGTTAGTCAGTTAGTTAGCCAACTAGCTTGAAATCTTTGGTTGTTCTTTTTCCTTCTGATTTTGTTTATCTCACTGTCAGAGATGGCCACCTCTCTGGGAGACACACCGAAGGAACACATCAATTAGTTCAACTTCCTGGGTGAAGTTGAATGAATGTCTTAATCCCCTGCCAAGTTTGGTGCCACTGATTCACTTTGAGCAACTCCCAACCTAAAATGCTAAAAACAAGGCAAGTTTAAATACAAACTCAAGGGTAGGCAGCAGACCAGGGATACAGTCTCCCACCAACTGCAGTAATTCGCTACAGTCTGGTCTCACAGCTGGTATTTTGGACTCAAAAGATGGTTTTGAGATCTTACTCTAGCTCTACTTCACAGTGATGTTGGAGTTATTAGTGGCAGTGCAGTCATAGGTGTAGAGCAGGGGTAGGCGACTCCAGGCCTCGAGTGCCGGTGTCCTGCAGGTTTTAAATGTGTCCTTGATCCAACACAGCTGATTCAAATTGCTAAATTACCTCAACATGTCTTGAAGTTCTCCAGAGGACTGGTAACGAACTAATCATTTGATCCAGTTGTGTTGACCCAGGGTAAGAGCTAAAACCTGCAGGACACCGGCACTTGAGGCCTGGAGTTGCCTACCCCTGGTGTAGAGTGAGCACAGGAGAGGGCTAAGTACACACCCCTGTGGAGCACCAGTGTTCATTATGATGGGGATGAGGTGATGCTACCCAGTCTGACCACTTGGCATCTGACAGGAAGTTAAGGATCCAGCTGCAGAGAGAGCTGCACAATCCTACAGTGCAGTGCAAAAGTGAGTGTGACTGAGATCTTGAGTTACTTTTGCGAGATCCCACTACTTTTTGGTAGCAGTTCTGTTTCTGTCCATTCAGGAATCAGAAGGGTCCACGGAGAAGACATGAAAGAACATGTTAGCATAAAAGACTGGGGTTGAGAAGGCGACAAATTTGGTGAAAGTTGTTACCATGGTAATGTGGACGCCATGGCACGAAATACTTGAACTTATCTTACTCATACCTTACTTCACAAAACAATTTTTAGTAACGTGGTCTATAAATGTCTAACACTACAACTATACTAATACTAGCAGTAACACATTTTCCTTTAACCTGCTGTTTATCCATCTAGATTGTTTTGGTGTGAGTTGCCCAGTTTTGGGAGATATCAGCTGTAGAAATATCTTCCTTCTGGTAAATCTAATGAAACTAGATGGTGCTTGCCTTGTGGTATAACAGCCAAGGAACCCATGAAAAACAGGTCAGCTGAAGAGGACACCACTGATTTTATTTTGGTTGAAAAAAAGGTGATTGATAGTTAACCTCCAAGGACCTGGCGTCCACATATGTGGACATCACATTTTGGGTTGTCTAGACCAAAATATTAAATTTTGCTTTACAAGGCCCGATATCCACTTACAAGGACATTATACTCCCACTGTTCAATCGAAATTTAAAACTAATGTCCTCATATGTGGATCTGATTTTTCTCAGAAACAAAAGTCAGGTAAAAAAAAAAAAATCAATGAATTCTTTGTTTTTACATTCATCAGGTCCCAATCAGCCCAAATAGCAACGTTTTGTTCATGCCATACTCGTTCCTGTTATGTGCATCACCTACGTTAAATAAAACTCACTCCCTGCATCTAAGTCTGCGTTTGAGTCCTTCTATTAAATCAACATTAGGAGGTTAATGATGAAATTCTGTTTAGAAATTGTATAAGCTGATGTATCCTGTGTGAAATGTGGCCTATAAACACCATCTTGTAACAGTAAGTCCTCGATTCCTTGATTAGCTTTCTGAATTTTTATGTAATACTTCCAAAACCTTTACTACCTTTTTTTTTTGTTAACTTGTGATTGTAATATGCTCTTTATCTTTTTGAAAAGGAGTTTGTGCATTTGCCAAAATGTGACATACAGATTATCTATAAGTTTTTCTATACTGCCTTAAATAATTACAAATGATTATCAGATTCAACATTTTCTTGAAGAATCAAGATTGTAAGCCAGGATTGTACAGTGGATTAAAAAAATAGTTATTTTGAAAATGTTCCCACATTTTTGACAGATTATGCATTTGTACCATCTACCCTTCTCTGAAATTAAAGTGCTTGGGAACACAGGTAGACCATACACAGATATTGTCACTATGCTTTTCTGTCATTTGCAATTTTTGTTGTCCGTTCTACATCGTCAGAAAAAAATAAAAATTTGATTACATTTCAGTTTATTTGTCCTGTACTTCAAAAACACATATCTTTACAGAAGTGATGAGGGATGCCAAAATAGCATCTGAATGAACTTGCTCTTCATCAACAGAATAGGCGGGTACAGAGAAGTTCACATTCAGATAAATTAGTAACCAAAGCAGAATGTTTATGTCTACGTCCACATGTACACAGGTATTTTTGAAAACGCAGCTTTTTCTGTGGAGATTCTTAAAAACTCCTGCCGGGGCAGAGATTGTTGAAAACGGAGATTTAGTCAGGCAAAGTGAAAGGTGTGTGCCTTTTTTGACGTCACGCTGTGCGCCACGTTATTGTTTACATGAAAGGAATTTATACAAAGGCGGATATAGACAAAATACTGTTGCTGTTAAAAGACAGAGAAAAATCTAATCTGAAAAACCTTTGTTTAGCTTTACCAAGCCTGACATCTCATGTCCTTGTACTCCTTAGCCACTGGTCAAAACTTCAAACTTTTGGGCATCCTGGAATGTTTCATCCCCTGCTACTGTTGGGGATGCCCATCCACAAGTTAATGCCATTGTTTAAATATAAGAAAAACTAAATAAGGGATGAGTTGAGCGAGTTCAGTTTAATTACTCTTAGTGAGCAATTTAAACTTTTGAGCTCACGTTAACTGTTCCAGTGTGTGGTGAGTCCGCTTCTACACCTGAAAAATTTGTTTCTGTTGTTTGTCTCCTGCTTTGCCTCAATTACTATGATATTTTTGCAACTTTAGAACTGTGTCTAGATTTTTCTATGAGTAACCTAAGCGTATATTTTTTTTAATATACATAGGGTTTTGTATATGCTTTTTGTGGGGTTCTTTGGATTCGCAAAGTGACTTGAGCTGAATGCCTCAAGTTAGCTGCTCTTCCAGCTCATTTGGTCTACAGCAGAAACTAAAACTGAGCTGAAGGGGATTCAGTTATCACCTTTGGGTCGAGACACAATTCATTAGATAATGAACTTTGAAAATAAATATTTTTGAATATCTTTGGCCATGTGGGTTAAAGGGCGAACTGTTGGAATGATTAGACAGAGTGACTGGGTTGAGCATTCGAGCTCGGTAAACTGGACTACTGGCCAGGTGATGTGAGAATTGAATTGAGTTATGACAGGAGTTGGCCAGGAATTAGAACCGTGAGAGAGGAAGAGGAACATTTGATGTAGATGAACCGCACACATATAGCACTCAAGTTTTTAATCATGTTTTAACCATTTCCTTTATTTCAAAATGCAGATACTTAAATAACATAGTGTATATCTTCATGGAACCAAAGGAAAAAAGATTCTTCCCATTAAACTTTTTTCTTTGTGATTTCCTCTTTTTGGAGCTAAAAGACATGAGACGCATGAGATGGAATGAAAAGAACAGGATGTCTTCTATTATTACATCAGGACTTAGTAGGTCACTAGCTCAAATAAGTCAAAAGCTATAGACCAAATGTCCTTTTCAGAAGACATCAATGAAGAGGCTGGTTTTCAGGAAGATATGATATTAATACATGTGACATTCCATGTTTTGGCAGGGTTTCTACGGATACTTTAATCTACAAAGACAACATTTTTCAGAAGTGAAAAGAACCCTAGTATGAAGAAATTAAGTTCATTACAACTCTTTGTAACCATCCATTAGTAACACAAGAGGTCAAAGTGAATATATGTGTTGTCACTGATTAACAGCTCAATGAATGAAAACATTATTAAGCGCTCTTTACTTTATAGCTCAAAATGCTGAATACAATGAAATTATAATGATAAAAAAAAATGTTGATCATTAAAATTAATTTTAAAAGTTAAATGTGCATGTTTCTTTTCATTTTTTTTCTTTAAAATGCAAATGCTAAAGTAAGTATACAATAATTTATACAATATCAATTTAAAAATGATAGTATTTCGAACTATCATTTTTAAATTGATATTGTTCCTATTTGCTCTCCTTTGTAAAATTTCATTTCAATAAAGCAGGTTTCTATGTACCATTCGAACAATCTACTAAAAGTCCATATTTTAATGCAATGTTATCATTTTATGTGGTTTCATTTTTGAATAATTGTTGAGCTGTGGTGACTCACTCACAGTTTGCACATTTCATCCAGACTTTCAATAGCATCTTCTTTAGTGTGTGTTTTCCACTCTCTGGGAATCTGACCACTCCCTGTGAATTTAAAACGATAGTGCTTTTCCATTTCCTTCTGAAACCGACACACAAACCATGTCCAGTACTTCAGCTTAGATTCATCAGGGGTGATTCTCCAGTTTTTATATGGTGGTCCGGCTTTGCGGTACTTTTTAAAAGGAATGGGATCTAACCTTAGATTAGGGTAAAAACGTATATCACTTGCAACTTTTGTCGTGCAGAACTCGACACTCATTTCATCACTGTTCTTGTAGTGTCCACCACTGAGTGCAGAAGGTCGATGAAAGGGGACACTGTGATCTTCAGGACTGTGATCTTTAACAGTGTTGGTACAAACAGCTGCACAGAACGGGCAGGTTTCCCAGCAGCAGTTACACAGCTGATCGATGAGGATTTCATCAGGTCTCAGTCTGAATTCCTTCATCTTATCCAAGGAAAGCCGATTCAGCTCCTCTTTGATGGATATAAGACCTTTCTCAATCTCTTCTTTAAGAAATTCGAAATTGTTTATGTCCCCGAAGTTTTGACAAGAGATAGATTCAAGCGTCAATTTATCTTTAAGGAAACTGGAAAATTCCTTTACCCACATGTCGATGTCTCCTCTTTGTGTTTTGACGTTATTTGTTGCATCAAATAAAGCTTGAGAGACAAACTTGTGCATCTCATCCACATTTTTCCTGAGTATGTTTTGAGCTTTTTCTTTGTATTCTGTGAACATGTACATGTTTACTTTCTCTTTGATAAAGGCTGCTACTTGCTTCCTTGGATTTTGGATGTAGGTGATGAAAGCATCAAAGTCCTCTTTCTCTGCAAGTGATGTCAACAAATGTTTCTCTAAGTTCAGTCTGTTCCCATTGAATGCTGGGAAAGTGCACCTCATCTCTCCAGCAAGATCAATGGCAGTCTTGTTACAAACAGCCTCAACAATAGAAACCTTCAGTTTTTCACAGATCATTTCTCCAAACACAACAGCAGATGAGTTTCCATTGCAGAAGCTGCTGAAAATGTTGTAGTATTGTGGTTTTTTACTCTCCAAGTAAGTGTGTGCATCATTGCTTGTTTTGAATTTTTTGTGAGATTGTGAAAGCCAAATGGCTGCCCTGTCAAATATGTACAGTAAGAGATCAACGGTGAACTCCTTTTTGAAATCATATTTCTTGTTTGATTCAAACTCTGTCACTGTGTCTTGAACATTTTTGGCCACTTCTTGTAAGTAAGCTGAACTGTAGCCTCTTGTTGCTACAGGTTTACTCTTGACTGCATCAAGAGACTCTTTGTCAATGCTGATTATTAGTGATCTGATCTGTTCCTGGTCCTCATACTCCATAGGTCCCCAAATGTGATCTTCAATCAATGAAAAAACTTGGGCTACAATGCCCTGTCCTTTTTGTTGCTTGTGGACGATATAACCCGTGTAGTCATCAAACTCAGACATATTTTTGTATTTTCCACTGCTTTTGGAATCATTTATAATATTTTGTTCAATCCCAACATCTTGAAGGATAGTTTCCTGATCCTCTTCCAGGTTGATGTCCTCAATGGGTTTTGTATCTGCAATTAAATCCTTTACCCAGTCACTCCAAACACTGTCAAACTGTTTTTTAAGTTTCTCTTCATCTTTTGGTTTGTCTTTTAACTGATGAGCGAGCTCTTTGCTCTTTTGCAGCAGCTTGTTCTCAAACTCTGGCTTCTTATCCTCCAGCTTTTTACACGCTTTCTTCTGTTGCATAACTTCCTCCAGTTTTCTTTGCACTCCTGTCACCAGCTCCTCTTGGAACTCCTTTATTTTGTTGTCAAATCGGCCTCTCCACTGAACCAACATATCTTTGTCTCTGTCATCCTCAAAGTACTTTGACATATCTTTTTTGATTTTTTCAAATGTTTTGCTCATTTCTTTAACAATATCACTACGCTCAATTTTGTCAGTGTCTCCATTTTCAATTTTGTTGTGAAGCTGGTTTTCAATAGTCAGCATGTTGCTCCTCAGGGCCCAGGTCCAGTTCCCATATTCAACCTCAAGTTTTCTGTAAACTGCAATTTCTAGTGAGTTTTTGAAGCTAAAAACAAATTGCTCATTAATTAGAGCATTCCACAAGTCATGAATTTTTATTCTGAAATGAGACAGTTTTACGCCGGCAGACTGTTTGGCCTTAGACAGGATGAGGTTCTTCAGCTCTTGGACACTCTCACTGTAGCCTGGATTTGGAGGAGCCATCGGTGGACTTCCCTCCAATAGCTGAGCAAAGTATTTCACATCTGTTTGCACATCAAAGGCAATGACATCATTGAAGCACTCAGCATCACATGATTCCTGTTTAGCAGCTAGCTGAGCCATCTGGTCCAGTTTTTCTTGCAGGCATCTTCTCTCATTCATGTTTTTCTCAGCAGCTGCGATATCTGTCACATTCTGGTGAACAAATACACAACTTGGAGAAAGTTTAACTTTCTTCATCCTCATGAAAGCCTGAACAACAATCTGCAGGACATCCTGCATGTCAGCTGGATTCTCACCAGGCATGTTGATCAGTGTCATGTTTCCCAGGCCAACAACAAATGTTGCCAATTCATTGTCATGATGAAGAGTGGTATCACATGCCTTTAGTCCTTCAGTGTCCACCACTAGAACATATTCAAACTGGAAGTCTTTCTTGATTTCCTCTGACACTTTGACCAGCTGCATGAAGGCACCTTTGGTGCACCTGCCTGCACTCACTGCAAACTGCAATCCAAACATGGCATTCAGCATTGTTGACTTTCCACTGCTTTGTACGCCCAAAACTGACAACACAAAAACTCTCTGGTCACCTAGTTTCTGGATGACTTCATCTAAAAGACTAGAGATCCATGTTAGAGGCACATGACCTGCATCACCATCCATCAGCTCCACTGGGTGTCCTGAAACCATCAGATCTGCAGCCAGTTCAGGATATTTAACCCACTCAGTGTGTTTACTCTCTGCTTGTACTGCTCTATGGGCTTCATAGATCTGTCCCATTTCTCTGAAGATGTGCTCCAGGCCAAAGGTTGCAGACTGCAGTGTTTTGGATATTTGTTCAAGTTTTGTTTGTTTGCTTGTTAACAGATCAGATCTGTCATGTTTCTTTTTCAGAGTTAAGACCTCAGTCCACTTTTCATCAGAGCTTGTGAGAATTGAAGATATCTCGTGACTGGTTAGGGCATCTATTAAGATCTGAGTCCATTTCAGGAAGTACTCCTTCTCTTTTGATGGCAAAGACAAGAGGCTTTCTGTGAATGACTTCATCAGTCCACTACATGAAGCTTTGCACTGATTTTGTCTTATTTGCATCAGCTGCTGTCGTTTCTGACTTTTTTCCTTCTCAATGTTTCCTTTAAGGTGATACAGCTCTTTATTTATTTTACACCACTCATGCCACAGCTTGGCTTGACAGGGGAGAAATTTTTCTTTGAGCTTAGAAATTTCCATCCCTTGAAGCATTTTAACTGTTTTCAGTGCAGCAGCTTTCCCTTTTTGGTAGACTACATGATCTTCATCCACTGTGACTCCAGAAACCTCAGCCATTGATTCAAGCTGGAAGGATCTATGAGGTCCAGATAAAATTTCTTTAATTATTCCTTTTAGTTCATCAGAAACCTCTGATTGATTTCTGTCTTTCACACCCATTTTGTATTTTCCATTTTTAACCTGAAGTGCATCACTTTCATCATCAGCAATGAGAATAATGAGAGGCTTTGGTAACTTGTAAAGGTCTTGGATTACTGTAGTACTTTTATGGCCTTTTTCCAGAGTTGGCAAAAGAACAACATTAACTGATGATTTTTCTGTCAGTATCTCACGCTGTTTTTCAAATGACAGAGCATCACCATGAAGATTACAAAAGGCAATGCAGTCACTGAAGGAGTCATTGGGTTTTCCATCAGGGCAGTACCAGGCAATCTCTGCCACACCATCCATCAGCAGGCGAGATTTGGTGCTACCTGGACAATTTCTATGGAAGAAGGTGCTGTGACGGTCATTGATCAAAGTGTTCATGAGCTGAGATTTTGACACTGGAAGTGAACCCAGGCGGAAGGAAAACACCATGGGTGTCTCGGCTTTGCAGATGGGCATTGTCTTCATGGTGATGGCATGTGAATTATCCTTGATGTGAGTTTTCTTCCATGTTTTTGTTATCTGCCTGAGTGTCCACAGAGGACATTCAATATCCATAGTGACTGAGTCAGGGACAAGCAACGGTAAGGCGTACTGACACTGTGATAGCTTTGTAACCAGGTTCTGCTTAAGGAAGCTGTCTGAACAATGAAATACTGCCATCTGAACATCCATTGGGTGAATGTGAGATTTTGATTTATTAGAGTCTACCTTTGCACTAAATAGAGCATCAAAGTCATCATTGTTGAACACTGGAACAGACTTTGAAGGGGTTACATCAGGATTGTCTTGCCTTACAGGGATATATCTTGCTCTGTAGTCTAACATCATCATCCTCTGAAGAAAAGTATAAGCTAAATCTTTTTCAGATGTCTCGTGGCTCTGATTGACAGGAGGGCCTATTTTAAGAAAGTCTGCTGGTGACATTTTCTGTGTTTGTTTGTCCTGAAGGTTAAGTCTGCTCAGAAGTCTTTCAGTTTCTGTTTGGCATTTCTCTTTGATGCTTTCTTCAGAGATATCTATTGGCTGCTATAACAATAAATGAATCACCAGTTAGTGTATGCAAAAATTACAAAACTAAACATTTAGGATTTTGTAAAATTAATTAGAATATATTACCTTATCCTTGTTTCCACTCATACCTATACCGGAGACACCTGCAGAACAGCAATGATGTAACAGTTTAGTAAAGTGGACAGTTCAAAAGTAAAGAAAAGTCTTATTTGAAACTTTTTTTGTTCAAAGCAGCACTAAAAGCAGTTTTTTTTTTTTTTGTTTCTTTATGATTTATTTCATGTTCACCTCCATCAATTGCCGCCTTATCAAGGGGCTTTTGTGTTCCAGTGAACCTGTGAGCAATTTTTCCTTGGTAGGGTTTCCGCTGGGTGAGATGCCAGATAAAGAGCGACCGAGATAACTCCTATGTAGTATGACAATCAAGGGTCCAGTGTACCCTGGCTTACCCTGGAGAGGAATGGGACATTGTTCAACTCTGGTGTTGCCCTCGGTGAGGAGACAACAGGAAGGAGCGGGTATACTTGTATCCCCCCAGTATGTTACGAGTACCTGGAGTTCTCCCCAGTGCAGGGCTCTACACTTACTTTTTGCCATGGGTCCACTGGTGCGCCTAACTTTTTTCTTAGGTGCACCAGTGCAAAAGTGAGGTGCACGCAAATGTTTCAACCACATCACTCAACACTTCTATCAAGACAGACAATATTGATTTATAAATGATTAACTGACAATCTTGTCAACACAATGTTCTTTATTTGGAGCACATTTCTACAAGAAAGATAAGTTACCATATTTTTTGGACCATAAAGCGCACCGGATTATAAAGTGCATTTAGCGAAACCAAATAGTCAGATAGGTCAATTTTACTCAACTCATTCTTCTTGCTCCCTCCACTTCTGTACCATTGATTCATTAATGTTGAATTCTCTTGCAGCTGCTCTATGCCCATATTCGACTGCGTGACTGATAGAGTTTGAACTCTGCTTCATGAGCATGTCTCTTAACAGGTGCCATTTTGGGATTCTCGTACACAATACGGTAATATTATGTTGAAGCACGGTACATGAGCCTCCTGACTGTGGTAGCCGCAATGCTCCATCCTGCCTTCTTAGAGCCACTGGATGGGGTGCTAAGGAGTGCTCTATTCCCAGGGGTTCTATTATTCTGCTGGGGAACTTCAACATTCATGTGGGCAACCACAGTTAGATTTGGAGGAGTATGAACTTTTGGTATGATGTTCCTTTTCTGAAATGCTGTGCTACTTTTATGCCAGATGTAATATGACATAATAGGTTACACCTTTCAAAAAGTTAAACTTTTGTCTTGTCAGTCCACAGAGTATTTTCCCAAAAGTCTTTAAGATCATCAAGATGATTTTGAGCAAAACTGAGATGAGCAGGTGTTTTCATCTTGGAACTCATGAGAACAGGTGTGGAAGTAATCATGCTTGGGTCTGGCTTGTGAAATCGAACTTTTTGAAGATCTAATACTCCACAGTCACTTTATGTTAGACTGGGGATTGATCACTTTTTCACACAGTGGTTACTTGTGTTACATTTGCTTCATATTTAAATTTGTTTGATAATCTGAAACATTTAAGTGTGACAAGCATACAAAAAAATAGGAAGTCAGGAAGAGGGCAAATGCTTTTTGGTTGCTTGCAAATGTGACACCATTTGCAAGCAACAGAAACAATCAAATAATTGTATAAATAAGCGCTCAGATGTGCTTCAGTATAGTTGCTGATTAACAGGACTATCTTCTACAATCGGCCATAACGGCATATATGTGACTTTGGAACCAGCTGCAGCGCAGTCCAGCTGACCACAAAAATTTACTGCAGCTGACAATACAAATTATTATCAGTGATTTCCCCCTGCTTCCCCATTACACTAGAACTAGAACAAGGGTTCCCTTACCGCCCAAATCCTACTTAAACTCCTGCTGTTAACCTATGTCTCTTTTTTGGGAAGCAAGTTTAACAAACCTTTCAATCGACCTTGAACTTGAGTAATTCACTTCAAACTAAGAAAGTCTAATTTTTCAGGACCTGGCTGTTTAATCATCTTCAAGTACATACATCCGGAGTTACAGTAAGTTCTCGCATGAGTAGTGACAAAAAGCTTTGAAACCATGGGCTATTACTATGTTCTCATCTTAGAGATGACCCAGAAATAATCTTAGTACATCATGCAAAAGCATGATGCCTAAAATGATAATCATTCTGGAGGAGAGAGGACAAATTAATATTCCCAAATATATTGCCAATGCAGTTAAAGCAAACTTGGAAAAAACTAAACAAAAACACATGCAAATTCAATAAAACATATTTTTCTGACTAACAACAATGAGCGAGTCACAAAGAAACTAGTGACAAATTAAAGGAATAAAAAACAAAGTTTGTATTTCCCATATTCTCTGTGACAACAGCATTCAGTGAATTGTCCTAAAATAAAAAAAAGTTCAGACTAAACTTTTTAGAAGAATTTAGGATCTACTCACAATAAAATCTTACCTTTTTGATTTTTCAGAAAATTGATCCCAATTTCCTCCTCTCTGTTGGCATTTTGATCCAAATGCTCTCTCTCATCTTCATCACCCACCACTTTAATGGCACAGTGGGGACTGTTTTCAGAGACCATGACATTGATTTTCTCTAACAGATTTATTATCTCATTTGCATCCATCATGCTTCTTGTGCATGTGTGGTATCTTTTTTCAGCAAAGGTGCAGTTAGCTTTCAGGTCTGCCAGTGCACTTTCACATTTTTCACTTGAGTCATGAGTCACAACTGTCATGACAAAAGACAAACATTTTTTCCCAAAAGATTTTTCTAACCATTGAATCCCTAAGCTGTAATGGTGGTTATGCTGACCATATGGTAACAGTAAGAGAATGGCATGAATTCCCTGGTTTAGTGGGATTTCATCAGTCTTTTGGAAACCAAGCATGTTAATGACAGTGATATGCCGACCACACATATCATACAGCCTGGATGAAAACTTTTTAACATTGGTTTTGTCATCATGATCAAGTAAGATGTTTTTTGGCCCAATCTCAATAGTATTTGTATCACCAGTTAACACAATGGTGAGCTTGGGTGATTCTGAAAGAAACCAAACATCAACAGGTCATATTAGTTAAAATGGAATATTCAAAGTTGTTAAACATTCTCTGAAATTAAAAAAATAAACAAATGTTACAATGTTCCTAATTAACATATTACCTCTGCCAGTCTTAATACCTGTTTCAAGCTCCATGAGCTCCTTGAGTATTCACTGGATCACACTGAGAGAGAAGTAAAAGAACATGCTTAAAAATTTGTGTGATAGTATATGCCTAAAATCAAGAAATAAATTTAATGACACATACTAGAGTCAAAAGAATCCAACTCAGTTGGTTTGTTAGTGAGGGAATGAGT